TAGTGAAGAATTGAAGTCAGGCCTTTGGAAATCTTCCAACCTGATTTGGTCTTTGGCCAAAATGAACAAAGGCAGGGGTGTCCAACCGTGGCCATTTTTAAGACTTGTTGACTTCAACTCCCAGAATTCCCCAGCCAGCCATGCATGGAATTCTGGGACTTGAAGTCCAGAGGTCTTAAAGTGCCAAGGTTAGAGATCCCTGAACTAAGTGCCTAAATCTTGCTTGGATCCCCCAAGGCAAGTTAACTCAACTTTTGCTCTGTTTAGTAAAGAAGCACCATTTTTTTTCCCCCCACTGCAGATGAACTTCAGAATCTGGGCGGTGTGTTAATTTTACCTTTCTTGGTGTGGATCCAGAGGCACAGAAGCTTTGCAACGCCTGACAGACACACACAAGTCATCCAGGCAACCAGCTGGAAAAACATCCAGTCCCCTACAGAATTTCCTCTTCCAGCTACTGGGGTGGAAAGGACACAGATGAATGCAGAGGCAGCCGGGGAAGCAGAGGAGTGGGGAAGCCCCCTCCCCTAAAAGCAGATTCTGGCCACGACGATACCCAGCCGAGGGAATGCAATGCACAATAGCTGCGGTTGTGCCGGAAAAAGACGTCGTAAAACTGGGAAACGGAGCCGCTGAACTGCTTTCCAGGCCTTGCAGTTCATTGTTATTTTCTCAATGGCCGTTTCTTATTTATTTATTTTTGCTCTGGATGGGAGGAAGGAAACCGAGCGTGTTTGCAAAAGGGGGAAACAATCCCATTTTCCTTCCGGGTGGGAAAGCTAGCCTGGGCTTTGCTTCTGATTTAAGGAGGGGGGTGCTCGAGGTCTGGTCAAGCCATCCCACCCCCTCCAGCAAAAACAGGGCGAAGGGCTTCAAATCGGATCCATCCCTGGGGGAAATCTCTTGAACAATGGAGGCAGCACGACCAAAGACCCAGAGGTTCCGAGTTCAAGAAAAGAACCCTGCAGGGAGGGGGGCAGAAGGGCCTTTGGTTGATGGCCAGCCTGCCAAAGCCCAAATCTGCTGGGTGGAAAATTTCCCACCCTGCCTGGGGCTCTTTTGACACACAACAGCCCTGCAGAGTTGGACAGCATCTCCTCTTGGATAAGATGCCCTGGAAGGGCAAGGAATTAAAACCAGGAGGTGGGAGGGGAAAAAATCCCCTTTTAGAAAGGAAATACTATATTGGCTAAATTCTCACGGCTTCCTTGTCTCCTTTCTCCCAAAATTCTCTTCCCCCAAATTGTTGGAAGAGCTCGGCTGCGGAGGCCCCCGGGAACCAGGATGGGATGGATCAGTTCCAGCAGGGGCCAAAGGGCCCAAATCCCTGGGACCTTCTCTGGGGCTATCGGGCATCGCTCCAGCGGACTGGTGGGCAGAGAGAAGGCTGACCTTTCACCCTGACCCTGAATAAATGCTGCAGGGAGACCCCAGAAAGTGAACACCGCAGAGGCTGAGCAGAAGGAGGCATGTATGTGTGTGTTCTGGCAGACTGCTCCTGAGGATGGAGGCTCCATTCCTTTTCCTTGGCTGTCGATCCGGAAGGAAGGAAGGAAGGAAGGAAGGAAGGAAGGAAGGAAGGAAGGAAGGAAGGAAGGAAGGAAGGAAGGAAAAAGGAAAAAATTAAGAAAAGTTCTGGAAAGTAATGATTTGTCTCAGCTGGAGCCTAATAGCTGGCCATAGCTGGCCATGTCCTCCCCAGCCTGCAACTTCATAACTTGAAAGCCTTTCCAATTTCGAAGCTTTCTGCAATTTATTCTGCCCCCTCCCCACCGACTGACGCAGAACGCAGTCCCTGTTTTTATTAAAGTCCCCAAAGCAATAATTTCTCATAAGACTTTGCCTGATCACTTCATGTCCTCTGCCTGTTTCTTCCTCTCTCTTCAGCCTCCCCCCCACCCCCCATATCTCAATTTCTCATTTTCAGGACGTGGTTCTCCCGGGGGGTACTGGGAGGGAAAAATAATATGAAGGGAAAGGGATTTATTAAAATGCAAATTGGTGGGATGCTTAAAATGTTTAACTTTTCGGCTCTCTCCCTCTTTCAGCCCAGAGGAAAAACATCCAAACTTTTTGGGGGTAGAAGGACAGCTGCGCCAGGGGTGGCAAGTTAAGAATAGCAATGGGTGATGCCAAAACAGGTGGGGGGGATGTGCCAACCTGGAGAACTTCATAATACGCCCCCACCAACCACCTGGCAAGGTGGAAACGTGGGAGGCAGGCAGGATGTGCCCCAGCTGGAAGGACCTATTACAGCACGGGCACCGCAGTGGCACACGTGGGCAGGTGGCAAGGAATTGGAGGGGGGTCTTACAAACCAAACCCCACAGTTCAGGGGTTGCTCCATCCTGAGTCCCTGTGTTTCACCTGGGCAGACAGAAGACTCACGGCAATGCAATCAAGAGGACTAGAAACTTGTGAGTGAGATATAGGTTTACTGGATATGCCTATAGTTGTTTAGGAGTGTTAGAAACCGGAGATGTCAAACCATGTCCACTGTTTTTAAATTTGAATTATTAATAAAAAACATTTAAAAAAAAAAGAGGGCTAGAAACTTGAATCTGCCAAAACAGAATCAGGAAAGGAATAAACAAGGAAGGCGGGGCTGTATGGGGGTGGGGGGGGGGGGTGAGCTCATTGTTCTTAACTTGCTGGAGCTTTTCATCCCCTTTCATCAAATTCACCTTTAGCTCAGGATTCTTGGTGGAAGAAAAAAACAGGTTTTTCCAAAGGGCAGCGAACACTGCCCTCTGGTGGCCAGCGCTGGGATGGCCCCGTTGTCCCTTTTGCTCCACAATCTAGTTATGAATCCAGTTAGGTTGGTTCTGCAAATGGGGAGCTGTTTGCACGCTCACAACAACCTTGCAAGGTGGGGCGGGTCTAGACGAAAGGAACGAGCCCCTCCCGGCCATCCCAGGCTGGCAACCAGGTCTGATTCCAAGGCTCAAAAAGCGTTGAAGCATTAAAAGTGGACCTGGGAGCTTTTCTGCCTTGGGGGGGGGGGGTCATCCCAGCTGGCAGTGCCCCCCCACCCCCCTTTCTGCCTGGAAGAAAACTCCGTCTTCAAAAGGAGCAGCTGGGGAGGTCTTCTTGTACAGTCTCACGCCCGTTTTTCTCACTCCTTGCCACTTCCTTTGAAAGGAAGAAACTGGCGTGGCTAGTCCTCATGATTCTGCTAGGCCTCTTCTGAGTGGAAACACAGAATTTTCAGATTTCAACCTTGGCTGAGTTTCTGCTTTCAATTACTCTGAATTATTCGGGTAGCCTCATTCCTGTTAACCTAGGAAGCGGAGGTTGGTTAATCAGTGTGTGTGTGTGTGTGTGTGTCTGTGAATGTTCAAATGACAGAGGCAAGCCAGGTTTCTAGGCCCTAGGAAGCTGCTCAGATCATCTCTCCCTCTCTCGTTTTTGCATTGCTCTACAGTGGTACTGAACTGAGTGCATCTGTGTGTTTGTGTGTTGATACTGAACAGTTGCTGGTTATAAAAAGGATTTTCCCCCCCTCCCCTAAGCAAGGCCCTTGGGGGGTTTCTGGGTTCCAACAGTCAGACGGAAAAACAAGACTGAATCGTAATCGTGATGGCGCAGGCTGTCTCTTGCGAAATCCCCCCCCTCTTTTCTCCTCACCCACCCACCCTCCCCACTCACTTCCTTTTTGCCTCTTGTGGTTTCCTTCCACTCTTCCTCTTTTCGACTTCCGGCTTCAAAGTTTCAGGCTGAGTTGGTAAGCAGAGCCCTTCGAAGCCCAGCCCTGGCAGGCAGAAGACTCCCCTCCCCAGGCCCATAAATGGGGTGGGAGAACCCGGGTGGAACAGGGACGTCTGTACGGCCACCCTCATTTTGCCCTCGTCTGCTTTCCTGCCCACCTTGAGAAATGCCTGGCTTCCGCTGCAGAGTTCTGTCTTTCTGCCTCCCTTTCCTTGTCCATTAAGAAGGACTTTTCAGACCAAAAAAAAGGAGAAACAGACCGGGAAGTGGCCAGATTTTGTGCTGCTGTGTTGTTTTTCGAGAAACCGCATTGCTGACAAGGAGGCCTGAAACGTTCAAGTACCTTGTCAGTTTCAGCCTCTTCGGAAATGGGTCAGATCTGATTGCTTTGGGGGACACACCCACACACCCCATCAGGCTGAGGGTTAAAATCAGGAGGGGAGAATGACGCAGTACTGGAAATTCAACTCAAAGACCACTCTGTTCTGGGGTTTCTCTTCCAGGTAATTTGGGGGGGGGGTGTGTGCAGTTGTAAAGAAACCCCCGCTGAAGGGAAAGGGACTCATGTGGCTCACATGAGCGAGCCAAGCTGCATGAGGCCACAATCAGTGTTTCAAAGTGAAGAGGGCAACTATGTCCCCCAGTGGTGTTTTGGGACTATAAAGGAGCAAGTGGGGATCTCTGGCCATGCTCAGAAACTTTGTTTCTTCCTTCCTCCCTGCCTTTAGTGACATCAGTCCCACCTATAAGCCCCCTGCAAGCAGATACCCCATCCAGATGACATCACAGGCACAACTGGCAGGCAGAGAGTGCCTGGCATCCCTCTGGGGTCACATTTTGACATCTCCAGGATGTTTTGATTTTTTTAAATTTGATTTATATGCCGCCCTGCTCTGGAGACTCAGGGCGGCTTACAATGTGCTAAGCAATAGTTTTGAAAAGCTCTCCCATTTTTCCAGCGAGGAAGGGGGATGCTCCAGGCCTCTAGGGAAAGGGGTGGGGGGAAAATGCCCCCTTGATCGACCCCCTCCAGCCAGGACACGTGTGAGCCAGAGGTCTCAGTCCCAGACCTTCTTGGGAAGAAAGCGGCTGCAGAGATGCAGGTACCCGGGTGACGCCGCGCACCAAATATGCGGACCGTCCAGTTTCCCCGTCTTGCCCTCGGCGGGAGCTTGGGCGTCAAGGCTTCCTCGCTCGGGGGTGCGCCGGGTTTTGCTCGGGCGGGTCAGCTGACGGGGCGGGCTCGCCGCGGGAGGAAGCGGGGGGACCTTCCCGCGGCTCTTCTTCTCCCGCCCTCGGGGTGCAAAGCCGGCAGGGGCGCCTCGGAGGCGGCAGCAGGACCGCGGGGCTCCGGTGAGTGAGGAGGGACCTCCCGGGCAGGTCTCTGGGGGGCGGGCAGGGGATGATGGAGCCGCTTCCTTTCCTTTGGGGAGGAGGAGTGGGGGCTTCATTCGCCTCCCCCCTCCCCCTTGGGTTGCAACCGGCTCCAGGGCGGCGGGATGGCGAAAGGCAATTGGGGAAGTTTCTGGTTTTGTAGAAAGTCGGGGGTTTTTTGTTTTTTGCGCCAGGAAATGCGCCCTCTTCATCCAAGGCTGAAGGCGGCGTGGAGAGGCTTAGGTGAGCCTCTGGGCATGTGCAAAGCGTGCTCCTTCCTTCCTCCTCCCTGAGCATCCTCCTCCAGACGTCCCAGGGCGGGCCACTCCCTTCCCCTCCTTTAGGGATTCCTGCGCCCTCCTTCCCTCCCAGGACGCATCTTCCAGAGGCCAGCGGCTGGCCAGGTGCGCGTGCGAAATGGGCTTCACGTGCCCCCCTCCGCCTCCAGCATCCCGGGACCGCCACTCGGGGAGGGGGCATCGGCGGGCGGGGGTGCAGCTGCTTTGAAAGCAAGGAGGCACCAGCCGGATGCCTCTTAGCGGGCGCCCACTCCGTTCCCTTCCTCCCTTCTGGCCTCTCCTTCAGCACTCGGCCCGGACTGCCTGCTGGCCACCGAGCTAGGTCTTTGGGGACCCAGCCCTCTGCACCTGCTCAGAGGCACCCTTTTTTCCACTCTCTCCTCCAAGCCTTCCAGGCAGAGAAAGGAGATTTCACTTTTGGCCTTCGGAGTCTCTGGAAGAGCAATGGGGACCGGACTTGGTGGCATCCTGTTCACCCCCCCTCCCCATAAGTTTTACTCCCCCATCTCTGGCTGGGTCTGCATTCCCCTGGCCTTTTCAGCTTTTGAGGGCCGACGGTCTCCCTGCTGGGAGATCCAAAAAGACTGCAGGATGCAGCTAAAAGCAGGAAGCCCCCTTGGCACCTGGAGCGGGGAGAGGGGAGGCTAGCCAGGAAGGGAAAAAAAGGGGGGGAAATGCTAAGAAGAGAAAAGCAGGCAGGCTCATCAAAGCTACTCCTTGCAAACGGCATGGGGGCAAATCCCGCATTGGATACAGAAATTTTAAAGGCTCCCCTCTATTCCCCAGGATTTCTACCAGGGCAACCTTTTTCTCGGGCCCACTCAGAAGGGGCAAGCTTTGGAGACACACAGGTCTCTTCCTCGGGCAAACAGGAACAAAGAGCTGAGGGGGAGGGAGAAGCCGGAAGGGGAATTGCTTGGTATACAGAGGAAGTCGAAGCAAACCAGCAGAATTGGCCCAAAATAAAAAGTTTTTTTTTTTTTAAAAAAAGCCAAGCTTTACTTAAGGTGGCATCCATTTCAAAACCCAGATCTGAGGCGGCAAACAAACCTGATTTCTTTTTTCCCTGAAAAAATAATTGTATTAAGCTGGTTTTTAAAAAATGAGGTCGTGAGGTTTCCTCATCCTTTTTTTGACCGGGTCAGAAACGTCTCCTTGGCTCAGGGGGGGTCTCCTGGGGAGGCCCCCCATTCTGAGCCTGGGGTCGTGTGCCCCCCATCCTCACCCTGCTGCTCCTTCTCCCCCCCCCCAGCCGAGATGGAGGCCTTCAGCTCGCGCAACCTGGCCATGCAAGCGGAGAAGAAGATCCTGAGCCGCATGGCCAGCAAGTCCACCGTCACCATGTTCATCGACGAGACCAGCGGGGCCGTGCTGGACGAGCTCTACCGCATCTCCAAGGAGCACACGCAGGACCGGGCGGCCTCCCAGAAGGTCATCAAGAACCTGGTGAAAGTGGCGGTCAAGGTCTCCGTCCTTTTCCGCAACGGCCGCTTCAACGAAGCCGAGCTGGCCGTGGCCGAGGACTTCAAGCGGAAGCTGCGCCAGGGAGCCATGACGGCCGTCAGCTTCCACCAGGTGGCCTTCACCTTCGAGCAGGGCGTGCTGGGACGGCTGCTGGAGGAGTGCCGGGACCTGCTGCTCCGGCTGGTGGAGAAGCACCTGACCCCCAAGTCTCACGGGCGCATCCGCCACGTCTTCGACCACTTCGCCGACGCCGAACTGCTAGGCCGGCTCTACAGCCCCGGGAGCCCCTTTGAGCCCCATCTGGAGAGGGTCTGCCAGGGGCTGAACCAGCTCATTGACCAAGGGAAGCTGTGATGAACCCAAAAGGGGGGGAGGGGAAGGGGATGGAATGGGGAGGGGAGGGGGTCTCTGGGACAGCCGATGGAACTCACGGCCACTTGGGCATCCGCTGGGATTTCCTAACGGGGACATTTTAAAGGGGGGGGGGGGAGAGCTTCAGATTTGTGGTAGGAAGCACCCCCCCCCCCAGCTGAGCTTGCTTTTTGGGGTCTAAAGACTCAGCAGGTTGTGTTTGCAATGGATCAGCGAGGACTAGGAGCTTGGAATGAAAGCGCTTGGCTTCTTCAGCTGGATGGAAGGGTCCCTGAATGCGAATGGGGTCCACTCCACTCGATGGACAATTCCTTCTGGTCAAAGGATGTGGGTTTTTTTTTTCTTCACAACGTGGATTGTGGGGGGGGGATTGTGGTCAGTTGGGAAAGAGGGGAAAGCTCGTTCCTTTTTGCTTCCTGTTACAGCATCTGCAGTGAGCCAAAACTCAGAATCGGATCTGCTTTGTGCCCTCAAGGGGACCCCTCCCCCTTTCCCTCTGGCTGGAATTGTCTGGAATGGGGGGGGGCTTTTCTGAGCCTCTGGAAATGAAATGGATTCCTAGCTTGGTTTTTTGGGGTGGGGGAAACTCAGGAATGTCCCCCCCTCCCATCTTCTTCCTATCTCTTGTGTTTGGACTTTTCCCCAGTGTGGAATTTTTGTCTCAGGGAATGCAAAAATCTGAAAATACACTGATTTTGGTTTTTCAAGTGCTGTGTTTCTGGGGTTGTTTTTTCCCCCCTCCCTTGGGGGAGGAAAAAGGGCTCTATCTCAGGCCAGGGACTCATGAGGAGAGACAACAGGCACCCTCAGGAAGGAAAAGCCCTTCTCTGGGGCCTCCACTGCAGGAACGTTGGGCAGCTAATCGGATCCCATTCGCATCAGCCTGACCAGAGCAAAGGAATCACGCAGAGATGTGTGACAGGGAGGCTCCTTGGGACTCCATGTGGGGGGGGGAGGATTCCTGGGACTGCTGAAGACCCCCCCGGGCGTTCTCGGGTGTCACTTCCTGAAAAAATATTCAGCACAGACAACAGCAGCACACACAATTCGCAAAACCTGCATTTCTTTAATCAGAGAATAGGGGCCACAAATTCCAAACGAGAAAAATCAGAAGACGGAGGGTTTGGGGGGGGGGCTGCTCACTATCCTCCCCTCTGGCCCATACTCCACAGCCCTTCCCAGAAGTCTGCCCTCTGGCATGCTTGGGATGGACCCGAAGAGCTTGAGAAGGCAGAGGGAGGAGGTGCTATTGGCCAAAGAAGCACTTGAGGCAATAAATATTAGGGGTAGGGGGTGAGGGGGGGGCAAACGAAGCAAGGGGCCCACTCAGGCGCCCATCATCCTGGCTGCCTTGTGGAGGGGGGGAAGTCCAAGGGAAGCAGAACTGAAACCGGAGCTGGCGTCCTCTGCCCCAGGGGTCCCTTTTGGGTGGCATCTGTTCTTCCCCATAGCGTGATGGGGGACAGGCTGATGCCGGCGGCCTTTTGGGGCGGGGGTCTCAGAGCTTGAAGATTTCGTCCTCCTGGTCGAGCAGAGCGTCTGCACAGGCGATCCGGGTGAGGGGCACAGGGCCGAGGACTGCCCGTTGCTGGGTCTGGGGCGAAGGCTCACCCTGGTAGGAGCCGGAGGAGGAAGGCATGGGGTTCGTTCCCGATGCCTCCCCCAAAATCCTGCAGGGGGGGAGGAAAGGGAGAGGGCTGACATTAAGTGCCAGTGGGTGCCAGGGAAGACAATCTTGCCTTGCCCAGTTTCTATGCCTGGCATTTCAAGAAAACATCCTTTAGCTGCAATGGATGAATTCGAGCGAAATAGACGCCGAGCTTCCAGAGCGAGGGGCAGTCTACCACCAAGCCAAGCCACCCGCCCACCCGCGTTTCCTGGCTGGGTTAACATCCATTAGTAGCCTCATTTGATGCCATCTGTATTTATTTTGTACCGTCTTGATTGTTTCAATTAGTTTTTAAAGCACGCCGCCCAGAGTCACTTCTTGAGACGGGCGGCTGTAGAAATTAGACCAAAATATGAAATAAAAATGAAAATTCATTGTTATAGGGTGGGAGGAAAATAGAGGAAGCTGTTAACATTTCCCCACCAGCAGTTTAAGAGCCTGCAACTTACATGCGTGTCTTTTGTAAGAATTTAAAACAACATACAAGAGAGAATCCAAAATCGTTTAGAGCAAGGGCGCCCCCTGGTGGCCCACAGAGGCCCAAACAACGTTTAGTCAGGTTTAATAAAAGGTGAGTTTCTCGAACATGTATTAATATCCTGCCGGCCTGGAATTACCTGGTGGTGCCCCATCCACACCTGACTCAGGTCTTAACCGGTTTTTTTAGGTAGTGAACATAGTAAAAAACTATGACACTTCCACACTTCCGCCTCCATCCCGAGAAGAAAAGGAGTCGAGTTATTCATTCCCCGATGCAACTTGGCTCATTTGCACCGAGCTACCTAAAACAGTGCTCTGGGCAAGCAACCTGGGCTTGTATGTAGACCCCCTCCCCACCCTGTTAATCCTCTGCTCCCTGCAACCCCCCTTCCCCTCACTCACCTGCTCTCCCCTTCCCGCAGCTTCTTGGTGGCCGCTTGCTTGGATCGGCGGATCTCGGAATCCAGTTTGAAGAGAAAATCGGCAGCCGAGAGGTCATGTTTGGGGACCGAGCTCCCCGAAGAGCCGTTCTTCCGGGACTGCTTCTGCTTTTTGGTCGACTCGGGCGGGACGGCCTCCCCCTGCCCTTCCTCCTCCTCCTCCTCCTCCTCCTCCAAGTTCAGTCCGTTGGACAAAGCTTTGGGCTTGGTGGGGATCAAGAGAGTCTTTTTGAGGAAGATGGAGTCGTTGGTGTACAGCCGGTTGGCCCTCTTGATCTGCTCCGTCTGGAAAAGGAACGGAGAAGGATGCAAGGCGGAAGGGGGACAAAGCAAGGGGCTAGTCCTCATCGGTCAAAAAAACACCGCCCTGAGCAGACCCAACATCCCCTGGTCCTCTCTGTGCCAAAGTTTAAAGTTCGAATTGTAGATCCCAGGGTCCCTGGGCTGATTTTTAGGGGCAAAATTTTGGGAGAGATTCTGCACAGGCAGAGCCTCTGACCTGGTGGTGCTGGGCCGCCCGCTGTGGCTTATGGGAGTTGTGGCTAAACTAAAACTGAACTTCCCTGCAGATTTTTTTTGGGGGGGGGAGGGTCTGGTTTAGAAGAGGAACTACCCAGCTCCGAAGGCCTTTGAAAGGAGACGGGATCAGGTGGCCCTTGCAATAACGGAGCTTCCCCAGAGAGCGGCAGTCTATCTTAGAAGGGGGGGGGCTCTGACCGCCTCTTGCACATTCGGGTGGTTCCCCTTCTGGAAGCCCACTCTGTGCATGCTCAGGGGCTGCCGCCTTTCCCAACCCAGCCCGGGGCGGGGCGCGCTCGCTCACCGTCACCCCGTACATGACGGCCAGGCCCTGCAGGGTGTCTCCGGGGCGCAGCTGGTGCTCCAGCCGCCGTTCGCGCACGGGCGAGCTGACCAGGCTGCCGTAGGACCGCGCCCGGCTCCCCCGCAGCAGCCCCGCGGCCCCCGGAGACCCCTGCCCGGAGGGGGAGGCCATCCCGCCGCCCGCCAGGCTCGCCCCGAGGAGGGAAGGAAGCTGCGGCCCCGCTGCCCACCGCCCGCCCGGGGCATCTCAGCAGGCGCCCCCCGCCAGGCCCCGCAGGAGGAGCCCCATGGAGACCCCCGAGATCGCGGCTGCGGCGCTCCGGCGGACAGTTGAACAGAAGCCCCCCCCCGGCCCCGCCCTCCCTCCCGCCCGGCCAGCTGATCGCCCGCAAAGGCTGCTGGGAGTTGTGGTCCTGGCCCCTCCCCCCAGCCTCCCCCCACCCCTTATTTCAAATAAGTTTCACTTTTTTAAAAATTTCCCCCCCCCCCGGCATCGATTCTGGCTGCTTTGCCCATTGAAGTGCCTGCCCCCCTCCCCCCTTTGCTTCCCCCTCCCCCCGAGTTTGGGGGGCAGAGAACTACATGGCCCATGGTACCCCTCTCGCAAAGGAGGATGGGGGGTGTAGTCCCAGAAAGAAGGGCTTTTTTTCTCATTGCAATGGGAGTGGGGGGAAAGGGACAATAAAAAGATAATTTCATGATCTTTTATTTTGATGCATAATTTTGCAAAATTTCCGGGCTCTGCTTTCGCAGCGGCCAAAGCAAAGAAAACTCCCCGCGGGGCCTGCTGGGAAATGGAGTCCCTCGCCTGCAGACCGCAGGGGAAAGTAGGCCGGAGCGCCCCCTGCCGGTCCGACGGGAGTCGCGTCCTGATTGGCGGAGCGGGGAAAGGGCTCGGCCAGCCCGCTGCCTGCTGGGAAATGTAGTCTGGTCCTCCCTCCAGTAAGAAAGCCCGCGCCTGTCCCGGGCGGGGGGCAGCGGTGGGGCGAGGGGGGTTTTTTTTTGGGGGGGGGGAGCATGTCCTTCAAGCGGGAGGGCGACGACCCCAGCCAGCTGCAGGTGCTGAAGGTGAGGAGGGGGCGTCTGGGGCATGGGAGGGGGGCTCTTTGCTCGCAGCTCTTTGCTGCTCAGTGTCCAGGCGGTGCCGGAGCACGTGCAGAGTGCAGGCCAGAGCAGATTGCCTCTAAGGGTTGCATTGCAGATCCAGTCGCCGACAGCCAGAAGATGGGGATTGTAGTCCAGAATCCAGGAAGGCCACCATTCAGGGGGGCTGTTGGACTAGGAAAAAGGGGGGGGCTCGCCCTCTTCCTTTCAACCCCCCCCCTCACTTCCTCCCTCCCTAGAGCACGACAATAGCCACCGGGTCTCCCTCGCTGGGTTGTTGTAGGAAGTGCTTCACACCTGGAAAGGTGCCCTGTGGTCTCTATCTCTCTGTCTCTCTCTCCCATGCTTCTGCAAACAACCTGACCTGTTGGATTTCTTCCTTCTTTGCTCCCTATCCAGAAACGGAGGGTGGCGGAGCTTCTGGCCCATTATATTCCCGAGGACGAAGCCTTGTTGATGCGCGATGGCAGGTAAGGTCTTGCTTGCGAGTGTGAATCCTAAGCCCGCTCTCTGCATAAGGTTTGAGGGGTGCAAAGACTGCCTCTCAGTCCCCACAGCCCGGCCCCACTTTCCTTCCTCCCTTTTCTAGGTATTCCTGCACTGTCTGCTTCCAACGGCCGGTTTTTGACACTCTGGACATGCTCACGGTTCACCGTTCTGGAAAGAAACACTTAGCCAGTAAGTCTGCCAGGATCCTCCCGGGCTCGGTCCTTCAGCTAAATTCAGTATCCCCTCTCAGCTTTGCAACCAGGGTGAGCACCTAACCCTGACTCTGAACTCGGTGAGGCTCTCTGCCAAATCGGTTTGCATGCCTTTACAAGCCACAGAGAGCTTAGTCCCATTTTACAGACAGGGAAGACTGAGGCCCTGAGATTTTGCTTCCTCCGGATGGCTTAAAAGACTGGCTGCTGAGCACCTTTTTTGACCTTCTCCATCGCAGGTTTGCAGAAGTTTTACGGGAAGAAACGCTCTCTCGAGAATGAAATTCAGAAGCGTCAGCATCAGGCGTACCTGGACGCGGAAGAAAATGGCACCCAGGTAGATCCTGGGCGCTGCTCTGTCCCACAGGGTGCATTTCTTTAAAAATAAGTCCTTATTCTGAAATAAATGCTTAGCACCGAGGGAGCCTTAGAGTCGCCGCTGAGAACTTAGTAGGTTAAATTAAAACCCCTCCAGATTCTGGCTTTGCTTTCTAGGTGGCTCAGGGACCGGCGCCATTGCTTGCCCAAACACGGAGGATTACCCAGAATGCCTTGCTGAAAACCGTGCCCTACAGCAGCTGCTGCCGCCCCAAAAGGTGAGACCCACATCTGGAAAGGGCCAACCGCTGGTTCTCTGCTTCCTCTGCCAGGAAGGTCCCTTAATAGGAATGTCTGGAACTCTGCCGTTTCTGATTTGGTGCAGGAACGAGGCCGGTGCCAGCACTTCGGGGGCGACTGCCAGGTTCAGAGCCGCGGAGGCCCCCGGGATGCCCAAACCCTCCGGTTCTGACTCGGTGGAGGAAGAGCGGCAGGTTGAAGAGGAAGCGAGCCCCTCTGCCCTTTTGTCCGGCTGCAGGCACACAACAGCAGGTCAGAAGCCGTTTTGAGATCTTGTAAGTAAGCCCAGACACAAAATGGGCAGAGATGGGAGATCCACCTCGCAGGGAGCATAAACCCTATCCCTGGGAAAGGACCAGAGTGTTAGCCAGGGAAGTGTCGAGGACAGGAAGAAGGAACGTGGGACGTGAATCTTGTTTAGGTCCAAGAAGCATCATTTGTGCATGAAAGGTGGCTTAAACATGGCTTATCACTTTATAGCCGCCCAGAGTCTCTGGATACCAGATGGGGGCAAATAAATTTCATGATAAATAAATAAACAAATCCCAGTTGAGCAAAGTTAAGTCATTTTCACGGTCGTTCTTTCTCGCAGAGTCTCAAAAGAAGAAGTCTGCCCGTCAAGGAAAGGGGCGCAGAACGCAGAAATCGTCCGAGCCCAACGATCCGGAGAAGCGACGCACCTTGGAGCATTACCTGAAGCTGAAAAGGTAACTGCAGGGAAGAGACCCGGGGGAGGTTATGGGTTGTTCTGGAGTCTCCTTCCTCAGCCAAATTTCCTTCCTTTTCTTGCAGTTCGGGATGGATTGAGGATGGGTCTGGCAAATGGGTCAAAGACGAGAACGTGGAGTTCGATTCGGACGAGGAGGAGCCCCCAATGCTGCCTCCGTCCTGATGGCGGATGGAAAATCCACACCCCACCCTGGCCGTGCCTTGGAAGTGTGTGAGGAACACCTGGAAATCTGGAATTAAACAGCACAACCATCAGAAAATGCACTTTTGGCTCGGACACTGTGACCTTTGTGCATTGAAAGCATCCTTTTGCCACCTTCGTGTTTTGTCTTTTAGTAGTACAGTTTTTGGCGTTTATTCCTCTTTGGTTGCAGTCTGCATTTTGTTTCCCTGGGTGCATTTCCGACACCACCTTTTTTTAAGTTCGTTGGAAAATTTCCAAGCAATTTCTGAGCAAGGGAGCGGCTGGAGAAGAAAAGCCCCGAAGACATCTTTAAAGTAAATAAAAACAGAATTTAGGGGAACTGCTGCTATTCAGTCGGATGGATAAAGAGCTGCGCTTCTCCCTCAGGAACTCAGCTCGTGCAGGACCACGAAGATGGGAAATCTGATTTTCTATTTTGGAAAGTAAAAAAAGGACCCAACTCGTTGTCTGAGAGGTTTAGGTCTGAGAATTAGGAAACTGAGTGCCGGTTTAATACAGTTCGAATTCCCATTTGTTTTTCCGCTCATAACCTATATTTGGGTGCCTGCGGATAGAGCAGTTTTAAATGCACTTTTGTTCGTTCCTTTCTTTACATTGTAAAAGCCGTTTCTTGCACGCTCCCTGCAGGCAAGGATTTGCACCATTCTTGGGAATTTCAGAGACCTGGGACTCCCCCTCCCCTTCCTCCTCCTCCTCCTCCTCCTTAGGCGGCCATTCCAGGATCCTTGCAACCCGACCCTCTGCTTCTCCCGTTTCTCCTGCTGTGTCTCAAGGACGGGCTGGGGGTTGCGCCCAGCAACAGCTGCTTGGGATAATTCTCCCCCGTGGCAGCTTCTTCGGACAGCGGGCAGCCTGGGTCTTCTCTGGTTTCAGGCCGGGACGGCAGCTCTGGGATACCGGAAGCCAGACTGGCCGAGAGGAAAACCAAGGCGAATTGGGACCTGTTCAGGTCCTCTCTGTCCTCCCACCCACCCACCCACCCACGACTGTTTCTTATTTCTCTTGGGCCCCCCCCATCCCAGGTTGCCTAGATAAGTCTGACCCTCCCCTAATCTATGAGCCATTCCTTGACCACAGCGAAGGAATCCGATGAAGCTTCCCCCCCCCCCACCTAATGCTTAAATGTTCAATAATCATCTCAGAAGGGTCTCAGCTGCCTTTAGTGTGGACTGGAAAACCAAGCCCCTCCCTCCCTCCCTCCCTCCTTCCACCAAGACCCCAGGCCCCTTTGTATAAGGAAAAGATGGCCCCCAAGTCTACGATCAGAATTCCTGCCTACCAAGAACAGGTAGTCCTTGACTCACAACAATTCATTTAGTGACCATTTGAAGTTATATTTTGGGCTCGGTTGTGGCCGTAAATCGAGGACCAGCTGTAATCAAGAACCTTAACCGTTTAAAAAAATTGCTTCCGCGGCAGACGAAGCCAGTTGGGAAGAAGGAAGGCATTTCATCCCTCCGGAGGGGGTATGCATCATTCAGATCTCTTTATTTACAGAGGTATTTCAAAGGCAGGGGGGCCCTCGGAGGTGAAGGGAGGAGAAAAACCTGAGTTGGGGCACGTGAGCCCCAGAATTGCTCTTGGGCTGCTTTGGAGTGATAGCCGTGGGGAGATGCCTGAGCCATGAAAGTCGCTTCCGGGATGATGGATTGTACCCCCAATTTATGTCTTCTTCTGTTTGCGTCCTGCAAAAGGGGAAAAAAAGATGAAAAGGAAGAAGGCTGGGCAAAAGACCCCTCTCCCTCGCTGATCCAGCCCCTCCCTCCCCTTCCTTCCCTCCCTCCGTCCCCTCCCCTTTCTCATTCTACCCTTCCCCTCCCTCCCTTCTTCCTTCCCTTCCTTCTTCCCTTCCCTTCCCTATCCCATCCTTTCCTTCCCTTCCTCATCCTCCTCTTCTCACCTCCCCACCTCCCCTCCCCTTTCTCATCCTTTCCTTCCCCTCCTTTCTTCCCTTCCTTCCTTCTTCCATTCCCTACCCCATCCTTTCCTTCCCTTCCTCATCCTCTTCTCACCTCCCACCTCCCCTCCCCTTTCTCATCCTTTCCTTCCCCTCTTTCCTCCCTTCCTTCCTTCTTCCATTCCCTACCCCATCCTTTCCTCCCCTCCTCCCTCTCCTTCCCTTTCTCATCCTTCCCTTCCCACGCCCTCTTTTTCTTCCTTCTTCGCTTCCCTACCCCATCCTTCCCTTTCTCATCCTCTCTCCTATCTTCCACTCCCCCGTCTGTTTCCCTCCCTCCCTCCCTTTCTCTTTCTTGCATCCCATTGCTCCTTCTCCTTCCTTCCTCCTTCCCTTCCCCATCCATTTCTTCCCTCCCCCGCATTACTCCTTCTCCCTCTCTCTCTCTCCACTCTCGGCCAACCTACGCAGTTCGTTGTTCCTGGTGATGGCGATGGAGGCTCGGGCTCTGGGGCCCTGCTGCGTGAAGTGGTACCCGAACCGGGTGATGGAGGTGCAGTTCTCAAGCATGGCAGCCATCTCCATCTCCACCGAGTCGCCCAGCCACTGGCGCTACAAGGAGGGAGGGGAAGCCGTGTCAGGTGGAAACTTGGGAGGGTGTCTAAAATGTCATTGTCCCCCAGTTGGGGAAATGCAGGATCTCAAAGTCTGGCTTGATGGTGTCGGACTTCTTAACCTTGTCAACTTTAAGCTGGGTGGACTTCAACTCCCAGAATTCCCCAGCCAGTAAGCAAGCTGGCTGTGGAATTCTGGGAGTTGTAGTCCACCAGCTTAAAGTTAAGGGCCCCCTCACCTGATTGTCCACCTTCAGTTCGGCCAAGGTGCTGTTTCCCTTCATGGCTTTGATGACCTCCATCATCCCTGCGCTGGTGATGAAGTTGGACTCGATGTTGAGACTCTGGAGGCTTTTGTTCTCCTTTAGCATCTCGGCCACCGCCTGGATAGGAAAAGGGGTTGGAGGAGGAGAGCATCACCGGTGTGTGTGTGTGTGGGGGAATCAGACTCAACGGCCGCTGGGTGCCGATCCCTGGAAGAGGATCTGGGGAGCTTACGTGGGCCACTGGATCGTTGCTTCTGGTGGCCACTAAGCTGAGCTTCTTCACCTGAGTGTTGGTTTTCATCGCTTCGCAGATCTCCTTCAGGGTCTGGATGGGGATGTCCTGCGCAAGAGAAGAGAGGAAACGGCCATTTTTCTAGAGGTGACACCTTGGATGGCCACGTTTTTCCTCGGCCCTCCTCATCGGCCTTTCCTTTTATGCCACCTCTTCCTTTCCAGATTCTTAATCTGAAGCTGCTGGCAAGGAAAAATTGTGACCTTCTTGCAAGTGTGAGGTGTGAACGACAACTTCCGTGTTCACGATATGAGCTGCTTTCCTGTAGCCTTCGACTTACGACCTCCACTGGAGTCGGAACTTCTGTCAGAAGTCATTGCTGTTGTAATTGGAATCAGGTTTGCAGCCCTTTTTACAACAGTCATTAAGTGAATCCAGCTCCCCAACAGGCAAAAAAAAAAAGCCGCAAATCGTGCTCCCATGACTCCAGGATGCTGCAACTGGTCGTAAAGTCGAGACAGTGCCAAGCACCCGAATTGTGATCTGATAACCACAGAGTGGAGCAACGATTTTTAAGTGTGAGTACAGGCCATTAAGTTACTTTTTGCAGGGCAGTCATAACTTGGAACTGTTGTTCGCCAAACGGCTGTAGGTTGAGGACTAAGAACAGGATAACCCCAGGATAGGACCGTTCCATTGGTCAATTCACTGTGGGGTCATCTTTGGGGTTTGGCACTCACCTGGATGTTATTCAGGTTCACCTCTTCCAGGCCTCTGTCGTTGCTTCGGACTTTTGCCAGGGTTTCTTCAACGTTGGTGGGGTTGGGGGGCTCGTCCGGGACCGGCTTGTACTTGTCCGGCTGAACAACACCTGTGCAGAAGAGGATTGGGGGGGAGGCGGGTTGGGGGAGAAAGGGCTGTCTGACCCTCTTCTCACATCTTGGTGTCGCCCTGAAGTCTTGATCTTTGGCCGAGAAGTGAAATGGAAGCCAACAGAGGCTCCTAGCCTGAAGACCACCCTCTTCCGTTTCCCCCCTTTGGGTGATTCCCCCCCCCTTGGCAGGGGATGATGAGCTGTGTAGTGAATGACACATTTGTTCAGCCAAACGAGACATTTTCTTGTCCCCAGGCTGAATGTGGGAGGTGTTCTGGGCTGGTAAATTGGGTAGGGGCATCTTTTGAATCAAGAGAATTGGGTAGGGGTCTCCTCGAAGCCCTTCCGCTGGCAGGGAATCAAATTATCTCTACCTGCCCAAACTGTTTTAAATGTGCCCTGTAACAACACGGTAGAAAAACCTTAATGTCCCACCAGCCGAAGTGACTTCTCTGCTTCTCTCACCCCAGCAGCCGAGGCAGGGGAAGGCGTGGCTTGTCATGAGGACTAGAAACATGGTGGGAAAGGGGCTCCTCTCTCTAAGTGTTTCTCTTCCCTGAAACCCAGCCCTACCCACTCAACTGTTGATGCCTTCCGTGCTGGTGATGTTGCCGCTGCAGATGGCTTCATAATATTGCTTGTTGCTCATCAGGGTGTACATGCCCAGGATGGCTGCAAGGAAGCAGAGGGAAAACAAGCCCAGTTGGATCCAGGTTCAAAAAATAACCAGGTTTGCTGCAAAATCAGGCATTCTCTGGCCCGGCCAAGCCCGGCCTGGCTCCGTCTCTAAAGCTGAGCGGGCAACAGGGCTGGCCGAGTGCCAGGCAGGGACTAAAAGGAGAAAGGCTGCTGCCCTATCGGCTTACACCTGTCGAGGGACTCTTGCTGAGTGTTGATGTGGGGCAGGCGCTGACCCCCTCCCCCTCCCCGTTTCTCTGCCACTGGCTGGGCCAGGCGAGGCCGCTTCTCTGCAAAATGCGGAGGGGTTGATCTCCTGCGGGATTTGCAGGCTACGAAGAAGCATTGATCCAAAGCGGGATTGGGGCCCCCGCCTGCAACAACGGCAGCAAAGGGGCAGTTCGCAGCCAACTGCCCCTGGATAGGGAGGCTCCACGGGGGCCTTGGATGTGGCTCGCTCTTTGGCACCTGTCGGTCCCCTTCTTACCTGCAATGTCACACATTTCGGCGTCGGTGGCGTTAGCCAAAGCTTCTTCCAGTTCCGGCTCCAGGATCACGTCCTCTTCTTTGATGACTTCTTTCTTCTCAACTTTTGGGACGAAAGGCTTCCCTGCAGGGAGAGAGAGACGGAAAAGGGTGAGAAACGGAAGAGAAAAGGAGGATGCAAAGAAATTGAAGTCAGGTGTAGTGCAGTGGGGGACTCAGCCTCCTTTATAAGCAACTAGAGCTCTCAAAATTCCTTCCTTCCTTCCCTCCCTCCCTCTCTCCCTTCCTTCCTTCTTTCTTCCCTCCCTCCCTCCCTCTCTCCCTTCCTTCGTTCCTTCTTCCCTCCCTCCCTCCCTCCCTCCCTTCCTTCCTTCCTTCCTTCCTTCTTCCCTCCCTCCCTCCCTCCCTCTCTCCCTTCCTTCCTTCTTTCTTCCCTCCCTCCCTCTATCCTTTCCTTCTTCTTCCCTCCCTCCTCCTTCCTTCCTTCCCATCCATCAGCTCTGCAAAATTATCCCCTCCCCTGAGTTTCCCCCTCCCATTGAACATTAGCATTGCAGGGATTCCCAACAGTTTGATGACAATCCGTGTCCTACTGTCTGGAATGGGTCCCTCTCTAATGTCCCTGAAACGGCCTTCATTCACGCCGGCAATTTGGACACAGAGAGGAAGTTCCAGATTTATTAATAGCAGTCAGATGCTGGGCGATTCAGTTCTGGAAGGAAGGAAGGAAGGAAGGAAAGGAGGAAGAAGAGGTGCCTTTGGCTTAAACGAGGAGACCCCAGCACGGAGCCCTTTCTGAGCCCACAAGAGCAGGGAAGAAAAAATATTTAATATTCCAGTGACAAACTGTCATCAAGCTGACAGTTTGAGAAGGGGGTGAGAAAGGTTGCCAAAGGGCTTGAATTTGGTGAGAAACTATTTTTTTTTCTTTTTAAACAGCTAATGAGGGGTCCTGAGCTTGGTCCTTTTCTTGCAGGCATTTCATGACCCCACTAGGTCACGTCATCAGTCCCAGAAGGAGTATTCGCAGCAAACCTCACTAGCACTGATGATGTGACCTAGCTGGGTCACGAAACGTCTGCAAGAAAAGCTCAGTTAAGCTTGGAGAACACCAAGGACCCTCATTTCAACCCTGAGCTACAAATATTCTCCTTGATTGGTAAACCATGAATCCAGGAAGCAGAAGAAGTGAAAAGAACAGAGGGGATGTTCAGGAAAATCTTCGTTTTGGTCCAAGGGATGGACTCCTAATAGAGGCGTGGAGAGAAGCGTTTTTGGCTGGCAAAGCGGATGCAGTAAAATTTCCTCCTCCGTTTCTCTGCTCTGGTTGGGGCTGTCTCTCCCCTTCTCCCTCGGGGTCTTGAAACCCTCTGGGGAAGGAAGGAGGGACCCCAAACTTGCTGGCATGGACAGTGGAGGCCAGGTGGGCAACGCAGCCCTTACCTTTCTTCTCCCCCGTGAAGGGCACCAGGTCTTCCCGTTCCTTCACTTCTATTGCCTGCTTCTCCAGGTGCTGCATCAGGGCGTCTCGGTCCAGGGGCCCCGTGGGGTCCTTCTTCGTCTGGTCCCGTTGCCGGAGCCCAGCCGGGAGCATCAAGTTCTAGGAAGCAGAGCAGAAATCGAGGTGCCAAGGATGGCCGTAGCAAAACCTCCTCCCACGCCCTGTAAAAACCCACCGGGAGCATTGGGCACCTCTGCAGGGGGGGCACATTAGTATCCCCTGGCACAGGAGCCTAAACAGTGCTTAAAAGGGGGGGCAGGATGATGGGTTTTGGGATAGTTAATCTTTTAAGCAGCGATAAAAATGTGCCGAATGAACGGATGAATTTATTTTATTGATAACATTTATTGCTCCCCCATCTGACCATAGGGGCCAGTCACAACTAAATAAGTCACAACTTTCTGGTTCTCCCCAAAAGATGGCACAATTTTGCTATTTTGGGCAGGACTGCCGGCTTCCCAATCTCTCAACGGAAGAGGCGCCAAGTCCGTCTCCGATCCGTTTGATTTGGAGAGTTTCAGAATGAAATCCAGAGTTTGGCAGAGTCCTCCCCCCTACCCACCCCCCATCTGCCCCTGATCTCACTTCTGGATCCATTTCCTGCAGCTCCAGATCGAGCTGCTCCAGCTCCTCTGGGGAGAGTTCCTTGAGGAGCTTGTCTTCATCGATATCTCGGTATTTCTCCAGCTCTTGTCGGTAGGAAGTCGTCATGGTGAGCGTAGCCAAGAGGCAGTTGGCGGAGGGTCTCCCCTGCAAGAAAACCCAGCCAGGCCGGGGGGAGAGCTGCAGCTTACGGGAAGCCCAAAGAACGTGCTGCAAACATGCTTACGGAGCAACAGGGGGCACTATTAGTGGATGGGTCAGCGGAACTCCCTGCCTCATGGTTATCGGAATTCTCTATCATCCTAATCTCCCCAACTGTGCCGCCTGGAATTTGGGGGACAGCTGGGTGAATCTTGCATCGAGGCCCTTTGATGCCTTCCTTTGCAGATTCCCTAATTGTTTTGAGTATCAATGGAAGAGGCACTTAGCAGCCTCCAGAGATTCCGCAGCCGCTGAGCTGGCTGGAAAGGGTCTTGGCCTTTTGGGTTGGCCAGCTGCTTATGGCGGGGAGGAAGGAGAAGAGTGTTGAATGAGCTTTGGGACCAGCTGACTCTGCTCCCACCCGCTTTACGGCCGGGGATTCAGTTCCCCCGAGGCCTCCTTTTATGTCTTGAGAAATGTAAGATGAGCAGTGATTGCTGTGGTTTTAGCCAGAGCTCCCTGCACATGGAAATCTAAGCTGTCAGAAAGAAATCTCGGCTGGGCACCGTTTTTTCCCCCAGGTGCTGCAGCCAGATTTGAGGTGGCGGCCACTGGCAGGAGGGGACGAACCACAGCTGGATGGCCCCCTCCACTTTGCTTTTTTAGGCACCTTCACGACTTTTCCAACTCTTTGTCCTGAGCTGTGAAGTCGCAAAACATCTCTGTGTGTGTCAGCCAGTTGCCAATCAATCATTCCGATGGCAACTAAGGGGTCAGTTATTCAGCCGATCCCAAAGAGTGGAACCTGCACAACCTTTGGGAATAAGCTAGGAGGGGGGAAATCCCCACCCACCCACCCAACTCTCCATGAAACAAGTGAATTTGCCATTGGAGAAACAAATTTAGCAAATGTCCCCTTCAGGCCTTCTCCCCCCCTCCCCTTTCTTCACATTTCACCCGGGCCAGCAGGTAGAAATTTGAGCTGGAGGGTTGAACTTCTGCCTTGGCCGCTGGTGACCTACAAGAAGCCGGTGGGACTGGATCCCCTTTTTCTCCGGCAATGGAGGAATCGTCAACCAGGATCCCTTCCCTTACGCTTCCCGTCTGCGGTTTCTGCTTTGCTCCATCGTCAAGAAAGTTGCCAAAAATATTTTGCGCACACAAACACGCCAACTCTTAGGAAAACCTGCATTTGTCCAGTATGAGGGATGCTGGAAAACCAGGATTTCAAGGACTTCTGGAAGACCAGATTTGGGGTTTTTTTTTGTTTTATTGGTGCCATTTTAGAGGGAATTCACCTAACAATCAATCTCTTTGGATGCTTTTAGCCTATTCTCAAGACACACTCTCTTTTCTTATGAGGTGGGGGGAGGGAGGGAGGGAGGTGGCTTCTTTTGTGCAGGAAAGCCTGGAGCCGAAAGCAGCTGTAAGCTCAGAGGCACTCTTGTTCCTGAATGGCAGATCTCTTTCCAGACCCCTGTTTTGCTTCCCCCTCCCCAGGGGTCTCATCCCCACATAAACTCCCCTCTGGATGGGAGAATTTTTCTCTCCGGGGCTAAACCAGCTCAAAGCAAAGCTCCCCCCCCCCCCCCCTTCCCCAAATCTTTGGCACCAGAGGGCCCTCCTGGCCTGGAGCCCCCCCCCCCCCACCCTCCATCACGGGTGTGGCCAGGTACCGGCGACGCCAAGCCCAGATCAGCTTGTTTATTTCCCTGGTTCCCGACTGGCCAGGCAGCCTTGGTGCTGAATTCGCCCCCGGAGGAGCCTCGGCGTCTCCCCCGGACCCCCGCCGGCCAGGGAGATGGAGACCCCCCTCCCCGCAGGAGCGAGTCTGCCGGAGCCGGCGCCCCCCGCCCTGCCCTGCCCAGGTGCGCCCAGGTGCGGCGAGGAGGGAGAAGCGGCGGGAGGGCTCCGGATGCTTACCTTGGTCAGCGGCAGCCTCTGCCTGGCCCCCGCCGGCCCCCCCCCGGCGCTGTGCACCCAGCGGGCGGCCAATGGCGAGGCGGGCGAGGGGAGGGTGAGCTCAGCGCTTTTTTATTTTAGCCTGGCAGAAGGGCGGGGGGGGGCGGCGGCGGAGCAGGGATCGCCCGGCAGGCTCGCTTATCAATCACTCCGCAGCCGCCCCGCGGAGCCCCGCCGGCCTCCAGTGGCCGCGGGGGGAATGGCCGGCCCGGGGGTGGGGGGGGGAGAGGCTGCCTTCCTTCCTTCCTTCTCTCGTTCCTTCTTTCTCCTTCCCACATTCCCTCCCTTCCCTCTTTCCTCCCTCCCTCTCCTTTCTACTTTTCCTTCCCTCCTTTCTTCCTGCCCTTTCTTCCTTCTTTCCTTTTTCTCCTTCCTACTTTTCTTTCCTTCCCCTTTTCCTTCTTTCCCTCTTTCTCCTTCTCTTCCATCCATGGTTGTAAAGTGGTTAAAAATCTTTGCTTGCTTTAATTCGCATCCCCCCCCCATTCCCATAGAGGTCAATCAAACAAAGAAAAAAGACTCACTGTAAATTTGACCAGTCATCACCCTGCTCCCAAGTGATGCATGGGGGTAAACTGTCCCTGAACCTGGAGTCTCCACTGATCGCCAAGCCTCCATGGTTTTGCTCAGAGCAGAAGAGCCCCCCCTCCCCGCGATCATAATGGCCCCCAGCCTGTCTAAATCAGTACCTTTCCTTCTCTATTGGCCGAGAGAGGCTTCCAGGAAAACTGCAGGCAGGACTGGGATACAACAGCCGTCGCTCGCGGTCTGCCTTTCGTTTTCACAGCTACAGTGCCCCTGACCTTGGAGGTTCTGTGTGGCATCCTGCAGCCACGGACAGGGTTACACTTTCTGGCCGGGCTGTTTCCCACAGGCGTGTGAGTGAAGAAGTGTTGAAATAAGATTGCCATTCCAGCAAATCAAGTTCTACCATTAATATTTCTGATAAAACTTTTATGTTCTTCCATTTGCCAATGGGATTATTGGGAGATTAACGTCCGCTGACCTGATTTGACCAGCAAATGAAGAAATCTCAGTTTGAACCTCCTCCCTGTGCAGGAGCTTTCTCACATCCCAAAATCTCGGCGCTCGCACCTAAACGTGAACTTTCTCTGTCTCATCTTCAGGAAAATATTCCTAAGGCTGATCATGGCTGCTCCTGGCCGAGGCAGCCCAGGAATGCTG